GGGACGTAGGAGGAGGGTAACAAACACGGAGTAGAGAGTCCACATTTTGAAATTGTTAAACTCAATGTTGATTCTGAAGGTTGTAGGTATCTGGACAGAAGATGAGGTATTGTTCCTCCAACTTGCATTCAGCTTTGCTGGAGCACTGCAGCAGGCCTCACCCTGAGACAGAAATGTTGGCACAGGAACATGGTGATAAGCTGAAGTGGCAGGCAACTGGAAGCTCAGGGCATTTTTACAGTGTTGAACATCTGTTGTAGACTGTGTAGTATTTATTTAAATGTCTGTTATTGGCCATTAAGTCGTTTAATATATTTCCTAATCCACCACAGCCAACTTGCCCCTCATACCTTCATAGTTTTCTTTGTTCAGATTTAGCACATTCATTTCAGAATGAACCATATTGCGTTCAAACTTAACATTAAACTCTATCGTATTATGGTGGCTATTTCCCAAAGGCACCCTTACAAGAAACTTACTCCAACTATAATCTTATGAACCAAACATATCACATTCAAACTTAAGGTGAAATTCTATCATATTATGATCACTTATTTCCCAAATTGTCTTGCAATTACTCCAGGGCTGTTTATCAGCTTCTCAAACCAGATGCTTTCATTTATCTTAAATTTAAAATTTTGAATCCACCGGTGGCTCAGTGGTTAGCACTGCTGCATCACAGCACCAGGGACCCAGATTTGATTCCAGCCTTGGGCGACTGTCTGTGTAGAGTTTGCACATTCTCCCCGTGTCTGCGTAGGTTTCCTCCCACAGTCCAAAGACATGTAGGTTAGGTGAATTGGCCATGCTAAATTGCCCATATGGATGTGTAGATTAGGTGGGTTATAGGGGGATGAGTCTGGGTGGGAAGATCTGAGGTTCAGTGTAGACTTGTCAGGCTGAAGGGCCTGTTTCCACACTGTAGGGATTCTATGATTCTAAATGTTATCTTTCTACACCATATAAATCTGAGTTATATGTTAATAACAGAATAATCTCACAATTCCCATTATATACTGCATCTGCCACTATGTTGCCACTCATTTAATCTTTTTGCAGCCTCTTTGTATCCATGTCACAGCTTACTTCCCACCCAGCTTTGTATTGTTAACAAGCTTAGATTCATTACTTTTTGACTCTTCATCTAAGTCACTTATGAGATCGTATTTTCTTTTATTCATTCATGGCATATAGGCTGTTGTCTATTGCTTGTTGCTCTTGACTAGCTGTTTGTGAACCACTACAGTCTATCTGCTTAGGTAGACCCACAGTTCTGTTAGCGAGGGAATTCCAGGTTCTTGACCCAGTGACAATGAAGGAATGGTGATGTATTTCCAAGGCAGGCTGGTGAGCAGCTTGGATGTGGCAGTGTTCCTTTAACTGAAGGCCTAGTGCTGAGCCTTACAGAGAGTTTCAATTTTCATTGTGAGTTAAAACTTCCCATGAAAATCCATTTCAAAGAATACAGAAGGAGTCATGCTCAGTGAGGAGAATGTAAAATGAAAGCTCAAGAGTTACAACTGGAAAACCACGGGAAATATCTTTTTATTACCCAGAAATCTGGTTGTAATCTTGAGAGGACACCAGTGTTTGAATGAGTCAGGTTAGACTGGGGTGAGAGACTGGTTGTTTTCCAGCAGAGGCTCATTAGACAGAATGAATGGTGGATGCAAATAACATGTTGACGAGAGTTGGCATACTGTATTTAGATGTATACCTTTCACAGCCCCAAAACTCCATAGTCCTTTAGTGGATTGTGCCACTTGGTTACCAATGTCTCTGGACGCAACCCTGGAGGAAATTCCAGATCTTGATTTGTTACTTTCATTGTTGAGATTAAAACCTCACAGGCTTGGAATTACATTTCAGGGCAGACTGAGTGACGCATAATAAGACATGGGAGGAGAAATAGGCCATTCGGTCTTCAGGAAGACAGACTGAATGCCCTGCCCACCCAGAAGGATATGTCAGTGAACTTACGATTAATACATATTGGTCCAACCCATCTTGTGCTCCTAAAATGGAACTCCAGTTTGACCAGGATTTTCATTTCCAAGTCATGGTATTTTATTTTGACTAGTTTTTCCCTCTGGACACTCCAGCCTCTGACATCTCAGCGTCTCCAATCAAGGGTCAGATGGATCAATTAGTGGATGCCAGCAACAAGAATGCCTGTTTGTGATGTTGGGGGGGTGTTCATGCGCAATCAGTGCTGCAAGTAAAATCCATCAGCAGGCAGAGAGCTGATGCTACGATCAGGAAGGCAGTTACCATTAGAATTGTAAAGGTCCTATGCTTTCTAAATCTTTTTTAGGTTCTTATGCAGGCTTCAAAATATTAGAAAACAAAAGTTGAAAAAAAAACACGCAGATGCTGCTATCTTTCCCCAGTAAAATCTGCCGTGATGTTCAGCCCTGGTCGCTGTGCCAAAGCCTTTTCTTCTACACCTGTGTTGCCTCAGAATTGTTCGCCAAAGGTATTCCCAGATGTCTGGATCTGACAAATCTAGTGCGCAACAAAGAATTCACCAAAAATAGCTTTTTAACAGGCTTGATAGCTTGTCCATTCAGCTTTTATTTTTAGGAGGCAGGCAGGCCCCAGTTCTGGTGCTCATGTGCCTGTCCTGTTACTGGAGTACAGTCAGTGCTGACCTAATATGATCTCAGCAGGTTTCATGCTAACAAGAGGTGAGGGATCAGCACACCCAGTTGAAAATGTAGCATGTAATATGATTAGATTTGAGCTCCCCTGTGGTTTGTGGGGAAGTGGTGGCACCATGTTAGCTTCATTAGACGAGGCATCCAATATCCTGGGCTAATATTTTGGTCAAGTGGGTTCAAACCCCATAGTGACAAATGAAGTCAATAAAAAGAAATTCTCAAATTGATAAACTGATCTAATGTTGTTTTTTGTAAAAAAAATGTCAATTGGTTCACTGATGTTCTTTAGGACTAGCCCACATGTGACTCCTGACCCACAGCAGTGGGATGAACTCTTAACTGATTGGCTTCGACCAAAGGTGCAGCATTGCTGTGACTGAATCCTCAGTGCATACAGAAAGTGCAGGACATGCACAAATGCGTTATCCTAGCATTCGAGGCCAGCGGCGGCAGCAGTAAAGCTCCTCCAGCAATTGTGGACTGTGGTGCTGGCGGCAATGGCCTCTTCACGCTGGTGGCTCAAGCAAGGTGACATCTGCAGCTGAAGTGGGACTCGCAGCCCAGCAGCAGCTTGGTTTGAAGTGGGCCCAGTGGCAAAGAAATGGCACCTAAAGTGGGATAACTCCTATATTGGTGGGTCTGATGCAGGCGACGGCAAGGCAGTGAAAGTCTCCCTTGAGGGTAGGTGCCAGCATGGACTAAGTCCGAAGGATTGATATTCTGAACTTTTTACTTTTTTAAAAAATTTATTCCTATGGCCTTTACTGCTGGACTATTTATTTCTTTACTTTTCCAATTTTTTTTGTTTCTGACGAATTTGATCTTAAGTATCTTTCGTTGGCAGGGAATGGCTTTCATTGGCAGGGGAATGGCTTTCATTAGCAGGGGAACTTTTGGCTTTCATTGGCAGGGGAATTGAGTTTAAGAGCCGTGAAGCTAAGCTGCAGCTCTATAAAACCCTGGTTAGGCCACACTTGGAATATTGTGTCCAGTTCTGGTCACCTCATTATAGGAAAGATGTGGAAGCTTTAGAGACGGTGCAAAGGAGATTTACCAGGATGCTGCCTGGACTGGAGGGCAGGTCTTATGAGGAAAGGTTGAGGGAGCTAGGGCTTTTCTCATTGCAGCGAAGAAGGATGAGAGGTGACTTGATAGAGGTGTACAAGATGATGGGAGGCATAGATAGAGTGGATAGTCAGAGTCTTTTTCCCAGAGCAGAAATGACTATTATGAGAGGACATAAATTTAAGGTGATTGGAGGAAGGTATGGGGAGATGTCAGAGGTAGGTTCTTCACACAGAGAGTGGTGGGCGTGTGGAATGCGCTGCCGGCAGTGGTAGCGGAGTCAGGTAATTTAGAGACTTTTAAGCAACTCTTGGATAGGCACGTGGAGGATAGTAAAATGTAGGGTATGCAGGGTAGATTGATCTTAGTAGGGTAATAGGTCAGCACAACATCATGGACCGAAGGGCCTGTACTGTGCTGTACTTTTCTATGTTCTATGAACCTAGGTATCTTTATACCTAAGATAGAGCTATAGTGCAGCCATTGTAAATTTTTGAGTACATTTGAGTCTATGTGACAATAAAGCAAATTCAAATAACTGCCCTCTGGATAGTTACGGATAGGCTATAAATGCTGAATCAGTAATATCCATATCTCATAAACAAATGATACAAAACTGCGCTGTCCATGGTGGGATTTAGTCTGACTGTCTATGAGTTCTCTGACTCTGACCAATCAATAACAAGCAAAGATGACTGTTGAGCAAAATGGTGCCTATCTTCATCTCATGATTTGCAAACTCTTTATAACCAGACCTTATCACTTCAGACAATATCAGTTGATTCTAATGACTAAGTTTTACCTCAAAGAACCCGCTGCGACTTCAAAGCAGGAAACCTTAGCCTTTGATTTGTGCGTTAACAGGCAGCTGCTTGTAAACTGAATCTCGTGGTGATCTGGAGGAGGCGCCCAATCCAGTGGGCATTGAATTTCAGACAAAACTACTCGAATTTCCTCACTTTGAGGGCTGCCAACTGGCTGAAAGCTGCGAAGACATCTATCCTCCAGAAAGTGCTTGACATGTTTAGATCATTGGTGTGAGTTGCCTACCCAGAGATGTCATTGCTGCTCCAAAATCAAGATTAAAAGAAACAAGTGGAAAAAAAAGAAAAAGAAGAGATTACAAAGATTTAACATCTCACATCAGAAAGCCCCACATTATAGGCTCCTAATTTCCTCTGTCATCTTTCTTACACACTGAATGTGAATCCAATTTGCCAGCCATTTCCTCTGTAGCACTTGTATGACTATGAAATGGTCAGTGCAGACACTTACCCGTGCACAGTGAGGCTGCTCTTGGAAAGAAGGGCTATCACAAGGAAGCTATAGAGTACGAAGAATCCCAAAACTTGTTCAGCCATGTCCTGAATCTGTTCACTGTATCTGCACACTCACATAGGACGGTGATCTGCAGAGAATCAAAGTCAGAATAACTTGCAGCACAGAATAGATAAGTCAACACAAATTCCCCTTCTAACTGAAACTTTCTCCCTAGATTTGGATCTGTGGGCAGTTAATTATTTGGAAATGTTATTCTCATCATTGACATTACTGTTTTTTATGAATTGTTCATTTTTAATTTGGGTTTGTTCAGGCTTATGGATGGCTGCTTTTCAATTTGTTCCTGCCTCTGTTCTTCACTTAGCGCATTTCTCAAGCCACACACACCGTGCAAGCAAAAAGCCTAACAGCACAACTCCATGTCAGAGTTACACTTCACTGGGTGGAATAGCACTGCTGGACCTTGCTAGGTTCAGCACACATCTTCACCAGAACCGCCTCAAATTGGCATCAAGAGTAAAACAACTATTTGATGCAATGGCCTGCTTGTTTCTGACCTTCAACAATCCAACCTTACTGGGTTCACAGGAACATTAATGGGTCTATTCCTTAAGCTCATTCACATCAACAATTCATTTGCACTGTGATCCATGACCATCATGACATGAGACATGACATCATTCATAGAATATCATAGAACCCCTACAGTGTGCAAACAGGCCCTTCAGCCCAACAAGTCCATATTGACCCTCAGAGCATCCCACCCAGACCTATCGCGCATAACTCACCTAATCTACACATCCCTGAACACTATGGGAAATTTAGCATTTCCAATCCACCTAGTCTGCACATCTTTGGACTGTGGAAGGAAACCAGAGCACCCAGAGGAAACCCACACAGACACGGGAAGAACATACAAACTCCACACAAACCGTTGCCCGAGGGTGGAATCAAACCTGGATCCCTGCCACTGTGAGGCGGCAGTACTAATCACAGAACCACCATGCCGCTAAATGTGCTTTTATTTTACACAAGTAATATCGATCAGGTCTTAATCCACCTTCAGTGAATATTCAGGGGTGGCATGGTGGCTCAGTGGTTAGTACTTCTGAATCACAGTGTCAGGGACCTGGGCTCAATTCCGCCCTTGGGTGACTGTCTGTAAGGAGTTTGCACATTCTCCCCTTGTCTGCATGGGTTTCCTCCCACAGTCCAAAAATGTGCAGGTTAGGTGGATTGTCCATGCTAAATTGCCCAGTAGCATCTAGGAATGTGCAGGCTATGTGAATTAGCCATGGGAAATGCAGAATTACAGGTTTGGGGTTGGTGTAGGTGGGATGCTCTTGGAAGGATCAGTGTGGACTCGATGGGTCAAATGGCCTGATCCTACACTGTGGGTACATCTCGATGTTACTGGACAAGGTCCAAGGTTAGCCTCATTGATAGACATCACCATTCTTCCTCTCTCACACCCACATTCTCCGATTCACCTTTGGCATCAAATAGCGCATCTTTGCACTTGCGCCTCGTATTTCTTCTTGCCTGATCCACACAGTGATGTTCAGTGCTCCTCTGAGCTTGTTTCCCTAGATCACCCATTATGCTGTCTCTGATGATGGCTTTTAACAAAGTCTTCATTGTGCTGAATTCAGATTCTAATGCCCTTGCTCTGATTGCATTTATTCTCTTGCAGGGATAACTGTAGTTTAGCTGTTAGCTCACTTGTCCAGAAATCAGAATTTGATGAACTCATGCTCCACTCTAAAAAAAATTGAATGTATACTTCAGGCTGACCATGCCAGTACATGCAAATTCTCTACTGTTGGAGATGATTGGCACAATCTTGTTGAGACGGTGGGGCCTTGGTGTCTGGATGAAGAACAAGTGAAAGATCTGAACTGTTTCTGGTCCACCCAATCAAACTTTACTTTGGCATTCCATTTTGATGAAGGGTCACTGGACTTGAAATGTTAACTCTGCTTTCTCTCTCCACAGATGCTGCCGCACCTGCAGAGTTTTCCAGCAATTTCTGGTCTTGTTTCGTGTTGGCATGCTGAAGCCACCTTCACCTGGATCCAAGAACCTGGGGCAAAAGCGAGGACTACAACTAATCAGAGGGAAGAGAGTGCCCATGATCGCACAGGACCTCGGAGTAAGCTAAGTGTTTTGTGGCCAAGGTGGATGTTGTGAGTGGTGGGTAAAGGAATGTCATTTTGGGAGGTTGTGGGAGAGAGTATTGGGTTTGAAACCTAGGGATACACGGTGCTTCTCAGTGGATAGTGCCCAGTCCTATGTCCAGACTCTCGATCAGGCACTGTTTTTCTTTGACAAAGGGATCTTGCCACCTTCTCTCCCCCTCACTACAGAAATGGCAACCTTCTCTTACAGATTGTCTTGTCAGGGCTGGCATGTGAAGACTGCCAGCATGGGTTTGTGTTGTGTGTCATAGGGGGTGAGGAAATGTAAGAAAGGACTTAAAGATCATGAACACAACTGGCCCTAGAATCCAGTGTTTGAGGTGAGCGTACTAACCTGTTGGCCTTGCTATCTATCTGTCTTTTTAGGCAAGTGTCAGGAATGATGGGGTCTGACCCCAGGTCACCTCTTTACATTAAAATAGCTTGGCCAGCTTCGCCAGAGTGGAGAAAGGATCTCTGAGTCAGGAAATATCTCAACTGTCACATCTGTCCTTCTGGAGAAAAATCTGACCCAGAGACATTGGGAACTATTTCACCTTCCTACAAGACAGAGACCTTCACCTTGAAAGTATACCAAACCTCTTGTATTTTTTCCACATCTGATGAATATTTGTGAGCTGCTCCAGCTGATCTCTCTTTCTCTCCCTTCTCCTAGAGCAACGCATTGTTGCTTTGGTCTCACATTCTGGCTGTGACAGTTCAGTCTAATCACATCCAAATGACAGTCCAATGGGTTTATTTGAAATCACAAGCTTTCGGAATGCTGCCCTTCATCATGTGTGGTGTCGTGTGACTTTTGACCTTGTCCACCCAAGTCCAACACTGGTGTACCTCCACATCATCATATCAAAATAGTTGTTACTTATGTTATATGAATATGCATTGGCTAATCAACTGTGTGAAGGATTTTAACCAACCTTGACTTATGATAAGCCCCTTCAATGAGAGCGGCCATTATCCAGTGACCAGCAGGGAGTAGCTAGGCAGTGACTCTGACTGCTGTTGCAAGTTTTACTTGGTGTAGAGGTGGTGACTAACAAAATGAACCTCTCTGGCACCTCTTCTTTCAGAAAATCACACACATGATTTTTGTTGCAGCATCTGGAAACTGCATTGGTCATTTGTTTGTAGGTTTGTCGGTCTGCGTAACATGAGTTAGAATCTGTTAACACACTTTAAAATGTTGCAATGTTCAACCTTAAGCTATGTGTAAATTAAAACTGCTGTACCGCTGGCCTTACTTCCTTTCAGACTACACAAGAATTTCTGCTTCGAACAAGTTTTCCAGCTGTAGAAGGCATCAGCAAAGGAGTTACGTGGGGCTTTTTTTTTATTTTCAAGCCAATTTGGAATTAGAAAATAGTGGAGCCAACTGACATTTGGCTACAGGTAAGCCTTGGTTTTTAAGCTATATTTTCTTCCGGTCATGATTTTGAGCGGCGCTTTCAGGTCTGCTTAACTACCATTTATTTTTGAATCGGATTAGCAGCCTTCCCTTTATTTCTGAGACGTAGTGGTAGAGTACTCATTGTGCTTCGTAGCACTGTTATAGCCCTTGGTTTGATCATATTTGTAAATTAGCTCTGTCTTCTTGGTGGACAATGTCCTATCAATGGATCTATATGTTTCTCTGACTCAGAGCTGATGCTTCTGAAAGGAGAGGAACTGTTCCTTTGTCTGAATTCTTTGTTATTTAAAGCTGTTACCTAGCTAGTCTTCAATTAGTTTTCTGAAATATCTTCCATTCAAATACTGGTATATTTTCTAGACGATCTTCACTGTTACATTGTGGGAGTTTGCTTCTTACAATACTTATGTTATTCCTTGTAGCTTAAGAAACTGGGTTGTACAAAGGTTGTCATAAAGTAGAGAAGGTATATGTACTTTGCAATCAAGGATTTTCATTTTTGAGAATAAATGTTCATCTTCTACTTTATTCAAATTGCAGAAACAGTTCATCTAGTTACAACTGACTGCAAACAAGTCAACGAACAGCCAGTTATGCCGTGTCAGTTCAAAGAAATACCAGTCATATGACAACTGGTCCAGGATCAGCCAGTCATGGAACCAGAAGACAAGGAAATGTTAGTTGTCAAACAAGTAAACAACATCTGAGGATGATTTCATTGGACTCATGTTGAAAGAAAATACTTTGAAATTATGTATGTAAAGAGAGAAACAAAGTTAACATTTTTAGTCCAGTATGTCTCTTGTTCAGGTTTCCAGCATCCACAGTATTTTGCTTTAATTAAAATAACGAGCAGGATGACCCATTTAATCTCATTCATGAATCTTTAACTGAAGTCATTCCGACAGCAACACAGCCTGATGAACAAATTATTGTGTCAGATTTGAACGTAATGTCAGACAATGAGATGTCACAAGTCCAAGAGGAACGTTTCAATTTATAATTTTTCAAGGAGGAATTGTCATTGCCAGTGACAGGGATCAGGTAGCAATCTTCAAGAAACACAACTGAGGAAGTGAACACATTGGGTTCATCAGTAAAGCAACCACAGAGAGCATCCAGCTTCATCAAGTCATCTTCACACTTTAGTAACGGATTAAGAATAAAGACTTGCTCGCACAGATTAAGGATGGGATGCATAATTCTCGATGGGAGCCAGCACTAACATCAGATAACCAATGACTGCAGATTCAGAACACAGTCGAGAATAAATTGCTTGATTCAGAGATCCAAAATACTGCATGGAATCAAGCATTGTTTTAACAGAGCAGTTATCTCCTGTGAATGACACTGATGAGATAAAAGGTACCACAGATGATGCCAAGGGACAGTTGTCTGATTCAACAAGGAAGGACTCCTCCGTACAGGAAATTCACAGGATTCAGCGTCTTCGAAATGATGTATTGGATCAATTCCTGCATCAAAAGTAGCAACATCCTCTGCAAAGGATAGCTGAGAAAT